ATGATCTCTGAATCAAATTGTGTGGTGTAGCAGTAAATATATATATATATATATATATATATATATATATAAATTGTGATATGTTGCAGGTCCAAATGTCCTATTTGTAAGGTGTATTGTGAGGGTTTATGGTGCTGAAAGTGGAAGACAGCAATGGTGTTATTGCTAAAAGTGGTGAAGAATTGTGAGTGTTGTTGCTGAAACCTATGATAGTAGGAACCCTAGTAGTATTCAGTCGTTAATGCATAGTGTGGTGACTAATTAGTGAAGTAGAGTGACAACCTAGTGGTAGAATTTCTCCTCTTTTCCCGTGTGCAGTCATGGGAGATAGCAGTGAATGCAAGTCAAGTGTGATGGTCCCTTATGATTATTTGAATGTGCAGATGACTTCGATAAAACAGAATGGTGAGAATTATGTGCCTTGGGTTAAATCTGTTGAAGTTTTTCTGAAAGCCAAGAAAAAAGTGAAGCATGTGAGGGAAGATAAACCCCCAATTGATTCTCAGGGATATGATGAATGGGAGCAAGAGGATGCACAAATTATGACATGGCTATGGAACAGTGTGGAATCCAAAATCAGTGTGAACTTCATGTTTTTAGATACAACCAAGGAGGTTTGGGATCATGCAGGGAAGCTTTATTTTGGACAAGACAACGCTACTAGGGTTTACCAATTGTACCAAGAGTATTTCAATTTGCAACAAGGGAATTAGAGTCTTGAGGACTATTATGCAAGTATGAGAAATTTGCGAAATGAGTTGGATGTGTATCACCCTCTTACACCTGGTGTCAAAATTCAGCAACAATAGAGAGAGCAGTTGGATTTGACCAGATTTTTAGTAGGGTTGAAGTCTGAATATGAACTGGTAAGGGCACATATACTAGGTGGGTCTGCTCTTCCCTCTCTTGAGGAAGTGTTTTCTCATCTTCGGAGGATCTCAATTGGATCCACAGAGAACTCCACTATATTAGATAGGTCTACATTTGTAGTTACGAGAGGGGGAGGCCATGGAGGTAGAGGAGGAGCTAGAGAAGGTCAACCTTGCCGTGGTAGTGGTGGTGGACCCATGTATGGTCGTGGTGGTGGTGGAATGTATAGTCGTGGTGGTGGTTGTGTTGGAGGTCAAGACTTAGGGGGAGCCCGTGGTAGAGGACATAGTAATGGTCAGAGGAGGTGTACACATTGTGGTATGAAGGGACATACTATCAACTTCTGCTATGATCAACATGGCCCACCTTCAACCTGGGCAAATCATGTAGTCGTAACTGGTGGTGGTTTGAGACAAGAATCTCAGCATACTGATCAAATACCCTCTACATCTACAGATGCCTCTAGAAAGGAGACGTTGAGTGTTCCATGAGATGAGTATGAGTGGTTCATTCAGGGTACATCTCAGCAGAACACGGCTACCCTTGCACACTCAAGTACGGCTTGTCTAGCATCCAAACCTTCCCATTGGATTATAGATTCTGGAGCTTCCGATCATATGACTGGGACTCCAGGTGTGTTTTCATCCCTTTCTCCGCCCTCCACATCACAATCTGTTACTCTTGCCAATGGCTCTACATCTACAATATGTGGTGTTGGTAATGTTGACACAGACTCATTATCCTTATCCTCAATTTTATATGTTCCCAAGTTTCCCTTTAACTTGATGTTTGTTAGTAAATTGACGAAGTCTCTTAATTGCTCTATCACTTTTTACCCTTCCTCTTATGTGTTTCAGGATCTCAAGATGGGGATGAAGATTGGTGGAGGGCATGAAGCTGGTTGACTGTATTGCCTTGATGGAGGTGGTTCGACAACAGCCCTTCAGACATATCTTTCTCCTCATCAGTGGCACTGTAGACTTGGTCATCCGTCTCTTAAAGCTCTTCAGTTACTTGTTCCATCGTTGAGTCGTCTTTCTACTTTGAATTGTGAGTCGTGTCAGTTTGGGAAACATCGTCATGTTCCCTTTAGTCCTAGAGTTGATAGTCGTATATTAAGTCCTTTTTCTTTAGTCCATTTGGATATCTGGGGTCCAAACAAAATAGTGTCTTATACTGGTTACAAGCACTTTGTAATTTTTGTTGATGATTATTCAAGGATGACATGGCTTTTCCTTATGAAAGAAAGGAATGAATTGTTTTCTATTTTCCAAAAAATTTATGTTGAGATTCGCAATCAATTTGGTGTACACATTAAAATTCTCCATTTTGATAATGGCCGCGAGTATTTCTACACACCATTTCAAGAATATTTGGAACAACATGGCATTATCCATCAAACCTCGTGTACCTACACCACTCAACAAAATGGGGTGGCTGAGAGAAAGAATCGTCACCTTTTGGAAACTGCTCGGTCCCTCTTACATCATATGAATGTTCCCAAACACTTTTGGAGTGATGTTGTACTTACATCCTGCTTCCTTATTAACCGCATGCCCATGTCTATCCTTGAAGGTTAGTCTCCATTCTCTGTTTTGTTTCCCACTTCGTCTCCTTTTCCCCTTACTAGAGTTTTTGGATGTGTGTGTTTTGTTCATAATCTTGGGCCTGGAATGGAAAAGTTAGATGCTTGATCCACTAAATGCATCTTCCTTGGCTATTCCAGGACTCAAAAAGGGTATAAGTGTTATAATCCTAGTTCTCAACATTCATTTGTGTGTCATCTTCTAGTTCCAGTTGAGGACCACATTCCTCTTGTCCAGTTGTGACCAAGTCTTTGCCTCCAATGCAACTACCTGCAGAACGACCGCCCATCTAGCAAGTGTATACACATCGTCAGGTACCAACTCCTCCTCCAGCTTCGTCACCGTCGACAAATCCGGTAGTTGTTACCACCCTAGTCCCACCCCCGTTTTTGACCTTGATCTCCTTATTGCTTTGCGGAAAGGTAAACGTAGTTGCACTCTTCACCCCATTTCCAATTATGTTTCTGTATCTCACCTTTCGGCTTCCCATCACCAATTTGTTTCTATGTTATCATCTGTTTTTGTTCCCAATGATGTCCAGTGTTAGAGTTAGCCGAATAAGGGTAGATTAGTCAACTCACCTTGGTTAAGTTATGAGCTTATGTGGCAGTCTTATTAGAGGTTCTCTGTCCCATACTTAAGTAGGGGCAGTTTAGTCCTYGTACATTTAATTAAAAGCCTAATCACTATTAAGAGGTC